TTCCTCTCCACCAGAGTCATCTGCCCTTGGAACCCAATCTGGGAAGGGGTGGGGGGCTCCCACTACACCGCCTGCTGTCCCCATGGGCTACTTTATAAAGGACACAAAGACCCCGGGCTTGGAAACTGGACTCCGACGTGGTGTTTTTCCCTGAGCTACAAAGTGTCTCTGCCTGATTTCTTTTCAGCGGCCCATGCTAGTAAAAATTGTTTGCCCTCTTTCCCCAACGGGCCAGCCTGCATCCCTCTGTTTTCTTTTCATTGTACCCAACCTGGACCTGTCACCCCAAAAAGGAGATCCCATGAGGGGAACAAAGGAAGAAAAAGAAAGAAAGAGACGAAAACCCCTGTGGCATTCCCAAATCCATTCTTCCTGGGGTAAGCTGAGATTCCACCCTCCCACCCACCCGCCGCCTGCAGCGCCTCGGAGCTCGGGGTGCACTTGTGTTGACTCGCTGGAGCATCTTGACTGAAGAAAGAGCGTGGGTGGATGCATGATTAGCTCTTAGGATCTGAAGAGCATTTTGAGATTCAAATGCTGAACTGGGAAAAAAAAATTTTTAAGGGACTTGATGGTGGTATTCACTATTTGTATTTCCTGAAACTTGTTGCTTACCTCGAAGACACGCCAAAGCAGACCCTGACTTAAGCTTTTATGGCAGAAGCAGTGGAGATAAAGTACGGCTGTAGGTTCCTTTTTAGCCACTTATTTTAGGGGTTTTCTCTCCCTGAAAAAAAAATAAATAAATAAAACCACTAGTTACTCATCAGGATATATGCATGGGTGATGGTCCCAGCTTCCCCCACCAACTGGCCTCAGGCCCAGGAGGATTCTCTAAGGGTCCATAGGCTCTGAGCCCATCTGTGGGATGGCCGTAGGACTACCAGAACACACACCTCCCAGGACTTAGAAGGGTTTCCAATGACATAACGCACTTGAAACTATAAAAGGCCACAAATGCCTAAGAATTATTATTGCCCTCTTTCCCGTATATACTTCTCCAGCATCAGTCACATTTTTTATTTTTTGTATTCCAGGACTGTTTCTGCCTCAATCACATGAATGCAAATAATACATTCCTGATAGCCTCCTCTGTTCCCCCAATGGCAAAAATAAATAAATAAAAAGAAGGCAGACAGCCAATAAATCAACAACTTGAATAAACTAGATATTTTGACTTTTACTTAAAACCGTCTTCCAGCACATTTTGGATCAGGAAGATCTTGAGTCTCAGTTTTAAAAAGACAAGAGCAAAGCAAAAAAGGAGCTCATCTTTCCCCTATGCCCATCAGAACAGCTAAAAATGAAAGAGGAGAAATAAAGCTAGTGTCGCCTGTGTGTCCCTCTGTCCTCACCTTAGCTTCTTGGCAAAAATGAACAGCTTTCTGTTTTCATGGTAAACATGCATGTGAGGGGGCACATTTTGAAGAAATGGCAGAGGGGGGAAAAAAGAGCATGGTTTGCCTTGGTATGAGTTAAATGATGCCATAATGCAGTGACTTTCAATCTATTTTCTCACAGAAACTCTTTTTTTTCCCCGAGGAAATCTTATATGGAATCCCAGAATATTAACGAGAGCTGCTCTGGCCGCAGTTGGGTAGGGTCTCAGAGCCTAGCCCCCAGTCTTTCTCTTGTCCCTCACCCCCTTTTCTTCAGTGGCTCCTGAGACATCCCTAAACATCCGAAAGACACCCTGAAAAAAACGCAATAGTGTAACCTTCTCATAATGATGAACAGGCACTTACAAGGCTCTGAGACTGCCCTTCCCCTGGGTCTAAAATTCCACCATTATACATTCACTTCTTGCCATCTTTCATCAGTTCTCTTTTCAAATGCAAATGTCCTAGGAAATGTTAATATCATGTGTCCTCAAAATGATTAAGCTTATGAGACAGTTTTTGGTTTGTTTGTCTTTTGGCAACGGATTGGATGAAGCAGGAAATGAAGATATTGGTGTGAGTTTCCTAGGGTCGCCATAACAAAGTACCACAAACTGGGTGACTTAAAACCACAGGTATCTATTACCTTACAGTTCAGGGTGTTAGAAGTCCAAAATCAAGGTCTCAGGAGGACTATGCTCCCTCTGAAACCTCTAGGGAAAGATCTTTTCCTTGCCTCTTCCTAGGTTCTGGTGGTGTCTCTCAATACTTGGTGTTTCTTGGCTCGTAGCTGTTTCCCTCCAGCCTCCGTCTCTGTAGTCATAAACCTCCTCCCCCTCTCTCTCTTCACGTCTTAAAGACACCCCCATATTGGATTAGAAGCTCACTCTACTCCAGCATGACCTCATCTTAACAAAGTACACCTGCAACAACCCTGTTTCCAAATCAGATCACCTTCTTCTGAGAGTCCAGGAGTTAGAACTTTCACATATCTTTTTGGAGGAACACAATTCAACCCATTAAAATACTGAAAGAGACAGAGGTTAAAAGGTCTGCAATTGACAGGCTGAAGGATGAACCTGAGAACAAACTCTGCTCCTCTGTATTTTTCACCCTGTCACGTGTGCTTTCCCTCACTTACTGTTACAGCTCCCCCATCTCTCTTCACAGTAAGCCCTCAATTAATTACTAGGAAATTCCAAGGGGATATTTCACGTGTACTGATAAATTCTCAGCTGCAAATGACAAAATCCCAACTCAAACTGGCTTAAGTTAAATTTAAAGGGGGAAATGAAAGGGTGTTTTTTTGGCTGAAACGTCCAGAAGTGTGTAAGTAGGCTTCAGGCAAGGCAGAATCCAGGGGCTCAAACAATGTCAGCTGAGTTCTGTTTCTGTATTTCAGCTGGGCTTTATTCACGCTTCATGCAAATGTTGTTTTAGGCAACCAAACGCGGTGGCCAGAGGCAGCCACAGTTTACATAGTCAGTCTTTCTGTTTGCATTCCCAGAGAATAATCACCTTGTCCAAAGGAATACAATATTCCTCTTAGCCAGGCAAGCTGGATAGTTGCATGCCAGGTAAACACTACAAGTCGTCTATAAAAGCCAATGTGATAGCCACCATATTCTTTGTCCCTGCCTATATATATGCAAGACTGTCACCTTCTGCGCTGCTCCCCGCCTGTACGTGCAGGATCGTCACCTTTGCTTCAGCTGCCCCGCGGAGAGCTGCCTGCTGGGAGGTGATGCCTTCAGCCCACCATGTTCTGGGGCTCCCTCAGTAAGTCAGTATCTCCCACATCTGTGTGGGGAGAAGGATTTTTCTTGCTCTTTGAAGTTAGACTTGAGCACAGGGTTCTTAATATTTCGTCTTCATGTGTGAATATCCTACCAATTTCCTTTCCTGAAAATATCTCAAAGATTAATACCTCTCTTACATCCCCAAACTCAACATAATAAAGGTTCATAATGCAAATAAATGCAAACCTTCATATCCATATCTTCCTGTGTACCCACCCACTCACTCACCCATTCATCCATCCATCCACCCATTCATCCATCCATCCACCCATTCATCCATCCATCCACCCATTCATCCATCCATCCACTCACCCATCCATCCACTCACCCATCCATCCACTCACCCATCCATCCATCCATCTACCCTTTCATCCATCCACCCATTCATCCTTCCACCCATCCACCCACCCATCCATCCACCCACCCACGCACCCATCCACCCATCCACCTACCCATCCATCCATGAGGGTTTACTCTGGGACCCAGCCTGTATGCCACACACTCTCTCCACTTATGATGAGTTATTCCCTGGAGGCTTTTCGGTCTGGCATGGAAATAGACATCCTGCCGACAACTGGTTACCAGCCCACCAACCATTTCCAAATGCTTTTGAATTCAGTAGAGAACACGAGTTCATGCTGAAACTAGGACCTTTATCATATTTGTCTATCTTTCAGGAGTTTGTTAGGTGCCAGTTAAGGAGTCTCACCATTTTGAAAACTGGTGGGAATGGAAATAATGTACTGGCTGCATTTGAGAACTTCAGTCCAAAGACAATAAGGTGTCTTACATCCAAACATGCTCCCACCCGCTGATGTAGCCCCAGAGTGGGAGCAGTTGGAAAAGGCAGACCTCCCTCCCAGCCAGGGAGCCTTGACTTTTGGTGCTGTCTCAGGGATGTGAGTACCAGGAAGGGAAAGCTTGGCCCATGGAGGGGTGTGAAGGAGACGGAGCAAGATAAAGTGTTCCAGACCCCAGCACCATCCGACTCATT